CTTGTACAATGGGGTGAGTTTCAATTTCGTTTCCAATGGGTTGTTTGAGTATTCAAACTGATGTCGAGTTCAGCAGTTATATGCAATGCCAATGTTTGCTATGTTAGTTATGCGAATTCCCATTTACTTCGAGAGCGAACATGAATGATTTTCCTAAGAGTTTATCAAAGCAATTAACATTTGACCAACCGCTCCTCTCTAAAACAATTGGTTTAAAGTCGAAGCTCATTGTAACTGGATTGAATCCTTCTCCACATCAAAATGTCATATAACATTTTCGAAGGGATCTGTCGGAAACCTCTTCCACAATTTTTGAGATATTCTCAACTCTCACTTCAATCAAATGAGTCAAAATGGAGTTATTTGATATATATCAGTAAATAATAATTTTCTGACAATAACACTGAACTATTTGCCACTTCATTCAGGATAACTGTGTGTTCGATAAAGCAGTTTGTGGATTGATACGTACATCCATCAACAAAATATGAAGCGAAGACTTCACCGTTCTGACAAATATCGGTGTCTCATTTAACCCATAAAAATTTATTCAGTCAAGTATTGAATCAAGTGGAAAACAACGTCAATCAACAAAAGTAGTGCGGTAGAAATTATTTGACAATTTTGTCTGTAAATAGCAACGGCTGGCCATTCATCCTTAATATAATGAAGGATTCATCACTTTTACCTGTTTCTCAGACAATAGTCCTCGTCAAACAGGCAACGAAAGCAAAACGTCAACTCACTGTGCTCTCATCATCAATCCAAATCAGTTGATGTATTGTGATAACTGAGTACACGATCTTTCGAACACCGTTATATATACACTGTATTTCATGTGAGTTTAATCAGTGGCAGAAGATGGCACGTTCATAGAACAATCACTGCAATTGACAATGCTGACTTCATAATCTCTCATAATCTCTCTCACCAGATTAAGCGGCATCAAAATACAATTTTCTCACACATTCACATGATGGACAGCACGTGATGTGCATTGATATACTTTATTTTACTTCATGCGTGTTTTCTGTCGGATGTAATTCATGGAATCATCAACTGTTTCATAATCAACCGATGCATCATCTTTTGAACGTTCCTATTTCCATGTTCCCTGCTTCTACAACAGTTTTACCATAAGCACAAGCAATATCACAGATTTCACTCGAATGATCACTGACAATCTCACAGCTGCAAATCTCAGTGTGATCGAAACTTCCACCTGCTCATACAATGAGGATAATCAGTTTGGTATTGTGCTGGCTGATCATTAGATTTTGTAAGCTTTGTTCCTTGTATAAGTCCGATATGGAATTGTAATAAGAATCTATATTTCCTGTTTTGTGACGTCCAACTGAAACGCACAAGTGCTGAAATGAAGTATGTTGAAGTGAACAATTCTTTGAATGGACAGATTGATTCTCCAGCGATTTGTCTTCTAGATAATAATTTTACCAACAAACGTCGACAATAACATGGAATGACGAAGTTTCTTACTCATCCAGCTAAAATAAATTTAAAGTTGATTCCATAGCAAATTGTTGTGGAATTTCATGAGTATTACAACACAGTTTTGACAAATATTTGGTCGAGTGATAGAATAAATGATCGACTGATGGTTGAATGACACACGACCAATAATGTTTATGTATACAGGGTTCAATTTGAACACAGTGACATGACGTTGCTTATCTAATCTACAAGATATTGATTTGTGCTCCTTTTGAGAGCAGTCACTTGACAGACTTCACAGACCAATCACGCTTGTTTCTTCACACGCACTCCTTCAGTATATAAAATGAAACACCTTCACTAAATGACGAATGATGTGGTTTCCGTCACGCCGCACTACTGAATATTACTCAGTAATTTGACTCACCCTTAGTCCTATATTGCTGTATATTTCGATGTGTAGTAAGAGGTGTATGTAAATGAATAGGAAAACGTTGTATCGTTCACATTGAGCACTCATAAAATCTACCTGTAGACTGATTTAAACTTTTTTATATTTCTGACAGCATCACTATTCATCTATTCGTAGAGGAATTCTTTCTTTGTAAATCATGATCGTTTTGAGGTTTAGCTGATTTCTTGAAGTTATTGGTCTACCATCAGAAAACGTAATCACACCTCGGTGAATATCTCCGTACATCAACAATGAGTAGAAGATGGAATTGTTGATGTTTCGTGACTTATTGTAAACTGATTCTTTAGAGATTTTTCAATCATCTTTAGGGATGGCTCGTTGGTAAACTCTAGGAAGCTATCAAGAGGCCGAGAAAGGGCCAAGGACATTCCATCCAACCACAGCCGGGGGAGTATTCTAGAATGTCGACGTGTAGCTTCCCCATTGGATGGATAAGAATGACCTCATATGTGCCTATTGGTTGACCGAAATGATGATTTACATTCAGCCAATATTTAAAAATACATGAGATTTCTGTACTATTTTTTGACACTGTTTTGAGGAATGAACTTTCTACTTACTAGTTCTTCTGTCTTCTATCTTGTGACGTTGCGGGTTCTGTCGTTCAAGTAGTCTAGTAGTACGCGGCATAGTAAGCATCAAGGCTTTAGATATAACAACATCAAAGATGAACTAACACAAGTTCAAACAGTTCACAGTACACAACTCAAGATCTCTCATTACTGATTAATTGTGACACGAAATACATCACAGATCATACTTAATCTGATTAGTTGAATGAACGCAGTCAGTATACTATAATTTAATCCTAGTGAATAATGAAAATGACAGGTTCATTACGATTAGTCTATGTATGGATTATCTCGGTTTTCGGGTATGTTCGAGTGTGAATTTCCTCACAACATTCAATTCATACTTATAGATAGAAGTAATCACAAGTAGTGTTTGATAAAATGGAGTGAACAGTGGATACACTATACAAACACTAGTTGTCTTTTGGAACAGGTATTTTATTGAAATAAGGTAATATGGATTAAAGAGACAGTATTTACATTTGTTGTCGCATCAACATCTTAAATTTCATAAGCGAAGATGGATATTGGTATTCAGGAGGCGCGATTCTTATCACTCGGGATTTGTCAGCTGGATGTGCGTGCGTCTCAAAGTTGATGTTCACTCTGGCATTTGAAACCTGGACCTTTCGCTTCAAACGTCACCACGTTATCCACTAAGCTACTGAGTTCTTATAGCCACTTGCTTGTGCAATACGCACGGTATACACATATGCCAAACAGTTGAGTAAAACTCAATGTTAAGTTCTCACTTGATTATTTCAGTTCGCCCTTGTGCTCGAAAGAATGGTCACGATAGTTCAAGATTGTGGATAGGATTTGTAGCTCAGGTGGATTATTTTGATGGAGTTTATTACCCGGAGCTCGATGATTTGATCATCTAAGTTACACCGTTATTCTAAATGACGTCATCACAGCCGATTAGATGGAGGAAATCATTTCATTTGTGTTATTTTATTGTTCATTAAGATCTCCAATGAACACTTGATGATCGTTCTTCATTTTCTGTAGGTCTATTGAATGTAACTGGATTGTCGTTTATACGAATGCTCATCACAATCATGAGTGCATTTACCTGAGCTACGACAACAATTCTTGGATGCGCAGGTTAACGGAATTTGAATTTGAAACAGTGAGAAATCATTCAACATTGTGCATTTCGCTTGCCAATCTTATGGACTGCGCCTGGGTGCTCAACATGTGTTTAAAATGATCCACAAAGTGTTCTTACAGACCAACCATCCTGGTTACCAATGTACTTTTTCATATTGTGAACTTTAGGTTACTACAACAAACTGGAAGGTCACATCATGTCACGTGGTGGACACCTCACTGTATTCTGATGACCTGAATGAAAATTACTCAAGCCTTAACTCTATATTGTGCAGCAGGAATGAAACGAGATGACAGTAGAAAGTGTATCGCATTCAATTTATTATTAACAAGTTTTCTGGTTTTGAATCGTTTAGAGCAACCAGGCATTCTATTTTGAAGTAAATGGTGTTTCAGTATCCAAAAGACTAGATTAATATGGCATGTTTCCTCTAACTGAGTTCAAAACCAAATTAGTTATTCATTCGCCGGATTCATCACTCAAGCACTCAGTAGTTCAGTGAATCAGTGAGACAGAATGTCTTGACCAACATTCAGGTACACTGTGTTGATGAGAAGATTGTTCACGTGGTTGAAGTAAATGTTAAGTGTGTCTTACATTATTCCTACTCACTCTCCTTCCACTTCTTTGTTAATTGTTTTATAGTACTTATTTATATTTAGTAAGCAGTTGTATCTTTAACAATTTTCACATTCACATTGTAACGCAGGTTGTACTTTAACATTCGGAAACGTTCACATATATTCATAATGTTCACTGTACTTATCATTGTAATTTTCATTATAATCACTGTACCTTAATTACTGTAACGGTTATCCACAGTTGTGGACTTGTTTAAAAGCAACAGTTTCCATATTGTTTCGCTCTTGGTTCGAGTTTCGATTGCTCATAAACTGTTGTCCAACTTCGACACAGCTATCGGCTGCCTTTGTACTATCGAAGCCTTTGATATTTTCATTCTCGATAGACGCGTTCAAACGCCTAGACAATCCACAAGTTGAGGTTTGTGATTAAAGTTTGTGTTTTATATAATAATGGAACCGCTTTTGTAGACAAATCGTTATTTTGGAACTTCGATTTTGCGCGTATCTCAATCAGGTCACTTGGACGCTTCGATAGACTTAACAGTAAAGATAAGTTGTCACTGATATGAGTGAAGGTGTTTGTGGAAAATAACCAATTCGTTTACTAATTCATTCAACTTGTTTAACGATATTGAGAAGAAACAAAAAAATACTGGTTGATCGAATGTATATTTAATAGTTAAGAACAAATGAACTGCATGACGAGGATTTCTGTTTGTTGGAGCACACGTGACATGAATAATCATGAACAGTTTTGTTATTGTCAGAGTCAATCAGTGCGTTCATTAAACAACTTCATGCAACTACTGAAATGGAGGGAAGATGAACTTCTTCGGACAGTTTCCAAGGAACGGGCAGTTCATGAATTCATGTTTGCGATTCAAGCAAACATGCACCTCTTCCAGATGATACATCCCTCTCTACAAAAATGAAAGAACGGTAGAATTTAGATAACATTTGACAATGTCCAGAATGAAATTCATCTCTAAATATATCAATCAACATAAGTTATTCAGTAGACTTCATATACTGGAACGATTGTCTGTTCACACATTTCATTAGAACTAAACGGTGTGCATGACTTGTAGGTGACGATTGTCAAATGAATGTTGTCCAACTCATGACGTGTAAGATTACTACAATTTACGCATTCGCTTTCACGAATATCTAATTATTGTTCAGGCAACGTTGCTTCATAATCACTGTGAGGCCAAAACTCTATCTGTCACGAATCACCTTTGAATGATTCTCGTTTACCGATTGCTTGACTAGTGTCAACTGTCTCCTAATAATGCGTTGGGAATTGTGGATGTGTTTAGGTTTGTTAGTCCATCTTTACACTTCATATAATTCAGTATTTAAAATCTACTCTACTCATAGTCTGACTATATTCCTGTCTACAATTTACTCAAGTGTCATTTGCGAGTGATGCAACATTCTGAAATGTCTAATGGTAAAGTAAACGTGTTTTCTATACTTGTGTAAGGGAATGGATTACTAATTACTGATTCACTTACCCGTCCTGGTTTACGAATGCAGTTTGCAGAACCATTGTAACCGAATTCACGTTCCAATACATTCATTAAATTGATTGTCTGCAAAAATTAATTCGACCGTTTATTAATAATGTGAATAATGAATGATGATCAAAATGCCTTCGTAACATTAATAATTAAAAGTAGTAGAGATGACGGATTAAATGAGGTGATGTCAGAAACATTTGCAAATAAATACATTCGGATATGAGATGCTTTCAAAACTTTCAATCCTGATATAAACAAGGTAACATATTTTTCACTGTTGCACAAGTGTAAGCACTCAAGTGTACTTCTTTTCGTGAAATAATTGTGATTTGCGTAGAGTAGCAACAAATTTACTGTGACTGTCTGTTGTTCGTTGAAATTCTACATCCTTGTTATCTTCAGTTCAAGTGATGTGGACATTCGATTCGTTCAGTGATCACATGAGCCTAATATGTTTGATTACCATGACAGATTTCACACAGCATTTGTATCACTTCAAACAGTTAGTAATTATCTCTTCGAGTCAGCCTATTATGTTAAAATATCTCCTTTAAGTTCAAAAGAAATTCGTTTTTCAATAATGAACGTTGACACGGTTGATTATTCAATGACATATTCCCTTTTAATTATGTTCATATTCTTTCTGCTCTTGTATAATGAGAGATGTGCCCAATGTTTGAATTAACTGAGATCTCAACCTCTATATAGTGGAGCCTACATGATAGTGTGATCGAGAAATTTGATTTATTTTCTCAGTCTATTTATCAGTTGAAGAATTGACTTACATCATATTGTCTGGAATCATGTGGTGAGATCTTATATTTCATTAGTGTTCTGAAATAATCGAAAAAGTAGAAACAAAGACACGAGATTAAGTTGTATAATTTAACAAATATTCACTTGCACAGTAACATCACTCAAACATTTGTCGTTTGATCAACCGATACACATCAAATTATATGTGCCTGTCCATTTGATAAATGGAACCAACTGTTAAGGCTCGATTCGGTGGCGAAATGGCATTCTGGATCCCTTTGACAGGGTACAACACATCTGTTCATAGTGAAAATGATGATCAGGATTGTGAGTGTGATCAGTGTAGCTATCTACATTCCCCATCGGCACTGAGGCACACAACTTTACAATATTTTATAGAAATGTAACCATGTATTTATTACAACAGGAATCACATACTTCAGTAGATTCAGCTTCTGCATCAGTTGGATACCAAATTTAAAGTAACCGTATTGATTAAACACTTGAGGATCCTCAACTGCACACAAACCATGCTTTTCAAATTCATGTTTCCTGAAAGTGGACAAGGTTGAAAACATTTTATACACTAACTACACGTTATTAAACAATACACGATAACGACTTAAAACTGTCTTCGAAAACAAACATCGTGATTTTATTGATTGTTGAAAGTTCCCTATTTCGAATCACCTGCAGGTTTAGGATTCAGCACAAAACGCCTTATCATATGTATGTTGATTGTTGTATGATTTTTTATTCACATGACCCTTACGCCGTTGACAATGTGATGGTTTCAAACAACGTCAGTTCAAAGAAATGATACAGAAAGTCGCTTGCCACTGAGGTCACACTCATCAGTCAACAAAGCATATCGACGATAAATGATTACTACTCACTGATGATTCTGATTCTTAAAAAAACACATTTTCATCTGCAGTTCATTTTCCGAGTCAAAATATTATCACTGCATAGTTTATCACTGAAACACATCTCAACATAGTAACTATCAAACGTCAACATCTTCTAAATAATGTTTGCGTTTACAGTGTGTGCTTTGAATACCGGTCACGTTGGAGAATATGGTCACAAATCAACATCGTCTAATGGACATCATATGTTGCGCAGCCGCCGGATAAAATATTCGATGAATGAAATATTATTAGATCTCTTACCAAAATGAGGGTGATTCGCGGTAGTTTTTCAAATGTGGCCACATTAAATCTAGTTCGTTTCGTATTCCCTGAAATAGAATCACAGAATGAATTGAAAGAATGGTTTCAGTGAATGATTGCATCGAAACATTTATTACAAACAAGCGAATTTGAAATTTTTTGAACGGTAAACAGTTTTTGTTGGCAGCATTGTTGTAAGCTTGAGAAAATATTTCTTCTAATTGAAAATGATCGTTTGTGGATCCAAAATTGATCCAACTGCAGCAACATCTGCATAGAGCAAATGACCATCGTCTCAATCACTACCAGTCAGCGGCTCATTCAGATGCAGTAGTTCATTTGATAATTTCAGTAGATCAATTCACGAAGTCACACGGACAACCGATAGGAGGTAGTAAAATAAAATAAATTAAAATGACTTAACTTTGAATCTGACTCACCTGCAAACGTCGAATATCAAAACGTAACGAACCAGTACAATTTGGTTGTATATTTGGTAAAATGGTAGGCCTGAAAATAATGATATACACAGTGCATTACACTTTATCAAACATTAACATCCATTCACTGACATGTACATTTCGGAAACGTGATCACCCAAACTTATCACTAAACAGCTATAATGTCTGTGTTAAACGTGTGAAGCATTTGAAGTAATTAATTACCTCATAGTATTGGAAAGACGTACATAAAGGTTCTCATTAAAATATTATCGACGACACTAAACTGTTACAAGGAATGCAATCTTCTTGTTATGGTGGTCAGTCATATTACTGTAAATCTAGGAAACAGTGAGACTCAGACCATATAGTATTGTGACGCAAATCAATGGACTGCACAACCTGAATCTAGTTAGCCGTATAGGCTCGCTGAAAATCAATAGTTAATGGTCAGTATTCACTTCATAATTCAACACGAATTCGTCAACAAGAAATTGTAACAACAACTTGTGTTTGGTAATAGTGTTGGAAAATCTGTGGTTCAAAATCTATACATCAGTGGTTTCAGATCACATCCGGCATGATGATTGTGTGTAGCTCCAGGAATTCGGCGAATCTTTTCGATGTTCGGTTGTTAGTTCTAATACTTACCAGTGCATTCTAGATAATACAGAGTCAATGTCTAATACTTTGTTGGACAAACGGAAGATGAACTTAAGTAGACATACAGTCGATTACAGTCACCTAAACTCCAGTTGAAGCTGTGGTGGATGTGGTGTTTATATGAACCAATGATTCTTCTGTATTGATGACTGATTTTATCTCGAATTCAAAATACAGCACAATCGTTCCTGCTCATCTAATACTTCTTCATGAAATTGCGTTATTGTTGAGATCGCTAGTTTATACTTCAATCAAATACTTAAATTATCACAATCACACACGTATATTTTTCATGAATCAAAAGTAATCTTACCACAATCCATGAATGGTGAAATCTCTCAATCCTCTCGGTAGCCTACACTAAAAGAGAGAATTTCAAATAATTGTTACTCATTTGAACACAGATGTATATGAACATAATATGTGCTGAAGCTTATCAAATGCGATTCCAGAGACTAAATAAGTTTTAGAAGTGAAATAGGTAGTTTCAGTAAGTTGCCTTCAAAAACTGACCCTTCATATGAACTTCACATTACTTCACATTACCAACATAATAGACCTGAACACGGACAATATGATTGCTCGTCTACTAAATTGATTGAAATAGTTTACAATTTCAAGCAATCTGTGAGAGTGATTTGTCGAATTGTCCTAGTTCAATGCAAATGATATACAGTTGGAACTTCCATGTTTGGTGAAATAAAGTAATGTGTTAACAAGATGTAATTTGACCTCAACATCCCTGGGTGCAGCCTGTCAAAGAATAGCACAATGGTGAGTACGCGATCAGCGAACGACTCTGATCCATATCCACCGACGCAAAAATGGCAAATGTTGATTTCACAATATATTACTTAATAAAATTCATCTGTAAAATGTGAATAGATGAGTTTATAATCATGTAAAATGACAACATTTTAAGTATACGGAATGTTTATTACTTGAATAGATTCACAATACGTTGGCGGCCAAGTCACCGAAAATACGTAGTAGTCCCATTTATTTTGACCGTATCCTACATGAAGGATGGTTACAAGTGTTGACACGAATAAGCACAGTGACCTGTAAACAATAGACAAATGACATGATCGATGAAGAGCGAAACACATCCTTAAGAAATGCGAAGACCATTACCGGGATAAGGGAAATAAATCGTCACGTCTTCATAATAATGAAAACAAGTATACTTTATATGCAGAGATGGATGATGACTAGCCATAGGATGCAGTGCAATAACAACATGGTGCAGTAACGAATGTCAGGTTTTCTACATGCCACGGCATACAATTTAATCTAAAAAAATCTGTGAATCATTTCTTTGACGTCAGCATTCTCCTAGTTCTTATCCCAATAAGCATTCCGAATATTTAAAAACAATTGCTACCACTAACACTACTACTGACACTACCAATACTACTGGCACTACCACTACTACTACTACTAGTGGAATTCATAATTTCGATTTGTCAGCTCAGCTCTCATAACCACAGAAATCAAACACATTTCGACAACTTTTATGTGAAGCTACTATCATGTTTATCAGTAATGTTCAACTCATCTGTCTATTGTGGGAGTTCAGCAGTTATATGCAATAACAATTTTTACTATGTGAGTTCTGCAAATCACTCATCTACTTCGAAGATACATGAATGATTTTCCTAAGAGTTTACACAACCGATTAACATTCGGCCAACTGTTTCTCCCTAAAATAATTGGTCAAACGCCGAAACTCATTGTAAATAGAAAAATTACGTCCATCAACAGAATACTTAGCGAAGACTTCACCGTTCTGACAAATATCTGTGTCTCATTTAACCCATAAAAAAATTTATTCAGTCAAGTATTCAATCAAGTGGAAAACAACGTCAGTCAACAAAAGTAGTGCGGTAGAGATTATTTGACAATTTTGTCTGTAAATAGCAACGGCTGGCCATTCATCCTTAATATAATGAAGGATTCATCACTTTTACCTGTTTCTCAGACAATAGTCCTCGTCAAACAGGCAACGAAAGCAAAACGTCAACTCACTGTGCTCTCATCATCAATAGAAATCAGTTGATGTATTGTGATAACTGAGTACACGATCTTTCGAACACCGTTATATATACACTGTATTTCATGTGAGTTTAATCAGTGGCAGAAGATGGCACGTTCATAGAACAATCACTGCAATTGACAATGCTGACTTCATAATCTCTCATAATCTCTCTCACCAGATTAAGCGGCATCAAAATACAATTTTCTCACACATTCACATGATGGACAGCACGTGATGTGCATTGATATACTTTATTTTACTTCATGCGTGTTTTCTGTCGGATGTAATTCATGGAATCATCAACTGTTTCATAATCAACCGATGCATCATCTTTTGAACGTTCCTATTTCCATGTTCCCTGCTTCTACAACAGTTTTACCATAAGCACAAGCAATATCACAGATTTCACTCGAATGATCACTGACAATCTCACAGCTGCAAATCTCAGTGTGATCGAAACTTCCACCTGCTCATACAATGAGGATAATCAGTTTGGTATTGTGCTGGCTGATCATTAGATTTTGTAAGCTTTGTTCCTTGTATAAGTCCGATATGGAATTGTAATAAGAATCTATATTTCCTGTTTTGTGACGTCCAACTGAAACGCACAAGTGCTGAAATGAAGTATGTTGAAGTGAACAATTCTTTGAATGGACAGATTGATTCTCCAGCGATTTGTCTTCTAGATAATAATTTTACCAACAAACGTCGACAATAACATGGAATGACGAAGTTTCTTACTCATCCAGCTAAAATAAATTTAAAGTTGATTCCATAGCAAATTGTTGTGGAATTTCATGAGTATTACAACACAGTTTTGACAAATATTTGGTCGAGTGATAGAATAAATGATCGACTGATGGTTGAATGATACTCGACCAATAATGCTTTTGTATACAGAGTTCAATTTGAACACAGTGACATGACGTTGCTTATCTACTCTACAAGATATTGATTTGTGCTCCTTTTGAGAGCAGTCACTTGACATCATGATCGATTTGGAGGCACGTTTGTGGTGTCCGGTTTATGACTGGAATTCAAGAGATCACAAGTGCTTTGCTTCTGAATGTTGCGCTTTCTTTACTTTCAGGTCATCCACGCAAACTCATGAAGGTGAATTAGGATATAGGTCGCTTTTTAATGATAAGTGATTCGGTATCTTCAGCTGGCTTCACACAAGATTTAATCTAACACTGATTTGATTAGAAGTTTTCAGACTCTTCTTAATGTTAGTGTATCTTTGTGGCTACTTCAACAGACGTTCACCACTTTATTGCACAGACCAATCACGCTTGTTTCTTCACACGCACTCCTTCAGTATATAAAATGAGACACCTTCACTAAATGACGAATGATGTGGTTTCCGTCACGCCGCAACACTGAATATTACTCAGTGATTTGACTCACGCTTAGTCCTATATTGCTGTGTCTTTCGATGAGTAGTAAGAGATGTTGGCAAATGAATAGGAAAACGTTGTATCGTTCACATTGAGCACTCATAAAATCTACCTGTAGACTGATTTAAACTTTTTTATATTTCTGACAGCATCACTATTCATCTATTCGTAGAGGAATTCTTTCTTTGTAAATCATGATCGTTTTGAGGTTTAGCTGATTTCTTGAAGTTATTGGTCTACCATCAGAAAACGTAATCACACCACGGTGACCTGACGTTGTCTATCTATTCTTTAAGATATTGATTTGTGCTCCTTTCAAGAACTGTCACTTGACATCACGAACGATTTGGAGGCACGTTTGTGGTGGCAGGTGTATGATCAAAATTCCAGAGACCACACGGTGCTTATCTCCACAATGTTGCACTCTCTCCACTTTCAAGCCGTCCATGGAAACTCACGAAGGCGAGTTCGAAAATAGATCGCTCCGTAAGAATAAGAAAGCTCGTTCGCCTGCATTTATTGAGCATAATGCGTTGGTATGTCATTAACCACAATGTTCGATACGATAGCCATTTTCTAGAGTATCAAAATCTGTTTGTTTATTTTTCCGAGAAAACAATTCAAACTGAATACCGTTGTCATGTTTGTTATTTAGTTCACTCATCATTCTGAACAACTTCCATACGACAATATCGATACATTATGCTTTCGACAGCTTCAGAATGTCTATCCGACAGCTTCGCATATTGGTCACTAGAGAGAGTGCTCGAAGTGCGATCGAAATCTTTAATCAGGGTTAAGGTTACGTGCAGTCAAACGTGAGTATTCTTACTGGTACAATGAACCAAGAACTTGTGAAAATTCTTGAAATCACTTCAAATATAATAGCTGTATAAGCGAATATTCAGTCGAAACCGTGTGAAGTCACTCTCTATCATCTGCATGCTCCACACAAGATTAAATCCAACAATGATTTGATTTGAAGTTTTTAGACACTTCTATAACTTGGCAATTAGGAGTATCCAGTTACTTCTAAATGTCGGTGTATTTTCGTGACTACTTCAGCAAAACTTCACCACTTTGCCGCACAGACTAACCACGCTTGTTTCTTCACACGCAAACTCTTACATTTACAAAACCAACACTGATATACTCGAATGCATG